CGCGCCGCGCCGCGCCTCGCCTCACCTACCGAATAAGGCCGCCACGAGCGCGTGCTTCGCCGCACGCTCCGACGCCCGGCGCCTGGCCGGCGCATAGCCAGCGTTCTGCTAGCAAGTGAATTTTTTCTCGCATTTCCCGACATATACTCTTTATGTTCTTGCAAAACCCTCCGTGTTTCATTTTGCTTAAAGTTTCTATTTTTTTTCTTTTCAGTTGTTATAGTTTTCGGGTACCTGTTCTTTTTTCTCCTCTCTTGCGACTCGTTTTCTCACCATCCTATTTTTGGTGTACCTGTTGTAAACATGTATTCTGCTTTGTCCTCAACTGTTCTTTATATTTGCAGTTTTCTTTATATTTCCGAATATTTAAATATTAGTTTTAAAACTGTGTTATTTAAAATTGTATCGGGACATTTGCAATTTACAAGCATAGAGTAAACTAGTTAATTTCTGTGATGAAGTATGTGAAAAATTTAAACTTTCATAAAAAAAATAATAATGATGCAAAGTGTACATTCAGTGTTACGGACGAATTGAAGACAAAAAACTTGAGAATCTACCCTTGAACATTACCCGTGGCCTATGTGTTCGCGATTGTTTATAGAACTTCTAAAATCGCCAAAAAATTGATATTCGGACGGAAAACAACATGACTTTGAAAAAATGCATCCAAAGTTGAGCCTAACCCTTCTATAATAGTCCAAGAATACATTGCAACCATTGCACGCTAATACTGAATGCGCTCTCCCACGTCGCTAATTATTACTAGAACGTTCTTTCATATGCTTCAATGGCGGGATTTTATATCCAAATCGTGTTTGAACCATTGAACTGTGACCGGAAAAAAGGGATCGTCAAGGGGTACCTTCGGGACTGTCGTTTTATATTGATTGTACAATGTGTTAATTGCAGAGCGTATCTGATCAATATTTTAAAGGTAAGAGAAGTTTTCGCAATAAGCTTCAATGAAAGATGTTACACAAGTGAAATACTTAGAAAATGGTTTACAAACGGTCAAATCGCGAACTGTTTTTCATGGAGATAAGGCTTATGTATGGCGCATTATGTTTTTTTAGATTTAGCAATCGTAGATCTCGGGAGGGATCTATTTACGATTTCTCCCCCGCAAGTCCGCGGCAGCTGTTTGCGCTGGCCGGCGCGCGCTTCGGCCGCGCTTCGGCCGCGCTTCTTGGAAGGTGGCAATCACTTGTATTCTTTGCCGACCTTCCGTCGAGCGCCCGTACGCGCCTGGCAGCGATGCCGGAGCCGGCGCATGGGGTGGACGCTACGGCGAAACGCGGGGCGGGGCGGCGCGCCGGTCGTAGCTCCCCGTTAGCGCGGGCGGAAAACCCGCTTACAATTGGAGAAGGGGCGATGGTCGTTTTCACTCAGGAGGAGAAAGTAAGCCGGCCCGGCGGGTGCCTCTGCCCCGAGGATCGCGGCTTTCAGGCCCACCACCTGCACGAACGGAATTCTTTAGCGCCCTTTACTATTTGCGCAGACGTTAATGCCAGTTGCTTCTGTTTCGATATTGCCTTGTGTCCGGGTCTGGCTGCATTTGTATTCCCATCCGTCCTCATTCACTATTGTCGAATTATATTCAAAACAAAATATAAACAAAAAAATATGCAAACTTATACGATTACATTAAAATATGAAAAGTGAATAAATAAGTGTGAATAAATAAGTGTTCACACTTATTTATTCACTTTCCATATTTTAATGTAATTGTATATAAGTTTGCATAAAGTAATGTTTTTTGTTGTGAAGTCTTTGACGAATTCTCCGTAAGTATTATCCGTCGGGTAAGTTGCTGTTCGTTGTGAAACGCTTCCAGTAAGAGCTTCAGCTCCCTTCGCATCAGTATCGTAATTTCGCTGTTCCTTATATTCCGGTGTAGACTTCAGTATTGTGTGGTTTTCTTGTGACACGGTAGCGCGGAACGGAAAAGCATTAAAAGGGTTGCACCTTTTTTAGGAATCATCTCCTTGCCACTTCCTTCTCCTCCGCTCCCCAGTCATATGGTTCTTTCGGTTTTCATTGTCCCTCCTTTTCTTCACACGCAGCAGCAGCGGCCAGCGAGTTGCACTCTCAAGAGCTGGCGGCTGGGAAATACGAGGGATTATTTCGGTCGGTGGGAAGTTTGCGGAGGACGCGTCGGAGGTGGCGTTCATGTCTGCGCTGCCGTAGCGCGTGAGGAGCGCGAAGTAATTATCCCGTCGGTGTTTTGCAACGCTTGCGCGTACCTGCCGCGATTGACCTTGATCTGCCATGGCGGCGGCGGACGCGGCGCTGGCGGCCTTGTTCTGGCCGGCGAATGCTCCGGAAGCTGCCAACGAGGTGAGGTGAGGCGAGGCGAGACGTAGCGGCGCGAGAACTTTGCGCGTGGAAATGCGCTTGGCAGCCCTGTGGAGTGTGGATGAACGTGGCCCGCCGCCTTCGCGCCCGACCGGAGCGGTGGACTCTCGCTCCTGGACAGCTGGAGGCGCCTCTACGCGCTTTTTGGGCGACGTATGTGCATTATTCGCGCGGACAAATACTTCCACGAAGCCAAGAGGAGTTGAAAATACTATTTCTGAGGTTCGATAACCAAATAACAAATATAACTCGTTATCTATTCGCCCTTACTCGCTGTAAATAAGTTAGTTGTCATTTGAATTCTGACACACGGTCAATTAAAGTATCGATCAATGTAATTGCAGGCTACCTACGAGGTAATTGTAATTAGATTCCTAAAGCCAGTCTGCGCTTAGACGCATCCAATTTACGGACTAATGTAATTTCTAAGCCGTGTGATGGTGCTGTGCTCCAGCTTAATGATTCTCATGCTCCACTATACGAAAATTGCAGAATTGGTTTAAAATGAGTTGCCGCGCACCAGTCACTAAATACTGTGTTTGATCACTTTTGACTCCGAGAAAAACAACAACATCAAAATTCAATTTACGTTGTGGGGACACCGAAGGGCTCGCTGGGTGCGCTGGAGTTTGTAAAATAGTTTATCGGTCACTTGCGTCGTTAACCCTTGTAACCCATGCAACCCTATAAGTTTGTTAAGTGCACGTGTACCTACCTGTAGGTTAAGAAATTTAAAATCCTTAGCAACGGGTTTTAACATCCTTAGTAACCAAAATAAACAACCACCCCTTCATCGCAAGTCAACATTATTACGAAAAAATCTCATGGTAATTTACAAGAGAAATAGTAATCAAAGAAACGCATTAGTTTGGGGGATAATCATCATTAATTATAATGTTATTAATTGTGCAGTTTGAAAAATAAATATTTGGTAAAGACGACGCTTGAGGTACAGACGAATTTTCAGCGTCCGTCTTCCTCGAGCCACGGTATACAAGTGTATCGTTGCAATAGATAGGGGCCCCGTAGGGCAGGGAGGCAGGGCGCAGGCAGTTGGCGCCTGGGGAGCGCCGCGGCGCGATGTGCTTTCGTGTGCGACAAAAGTCTGGCCATCGATCTCGACGCTTCGCGCTGGCGCCCCGCGCCGCCCCGTGCCACGCCACCGCACCCCACGCCACCCCACGCAACGCCACGCCACTCCGCGCCACGTCTCGCTGCCCCACGCTACTTCACGCCACCTTGTGCCTCTATTCGTCATAGCCCCCGACACCGCCTTGGCTCCATGCGACGTTGCCGCCACCCACTGTGACCCTCCGCCTCCGCTCCCGGCCCCGCCCGCTCCGCCCATGGCGCTGCCCTCGGGGCCGCCTGCCGCACATCTGCAGAGGAAGAAAAAACAAGAGAAGAAAGGGGCACCCGCTACTCCGCCTCTGGGACAGATCTGGAGGAAGCGTACGTTCTGAGGAAGGCTGAAGTAGAAAAAGGCGCAATGGATTGCCCTGAACGTCCAATAGCCACGAAGAAGCGGTTGGCGCTGGGCGCGCGTGCACAGACGGCCAGTGCAGCTTGTGCTCGAGTGCCAGCCGCAGATCGCGCTTCGATCGGACGCAGCTTATTTCTCTTTTTAACACTTCGTTATGCACTGTGAGTACCATGCATTTCGTGACTGGAAATTTTATTGAATTTTGTTGACATTGCGAATTTGACAAAATTTCTTCGAATGTACCTCTCATTTCCTCTTAAGTAACAGGTGTACCTTCAATTTTCCACTTGAGAGATGTCACGCATTCTTCGCTCAGTTAATTAATTCAGGAAGTGTAATTTCTTAATCATTGACCATATAATTGAATTTTATTAGGGGTTATTATGTTAGGATTTCATGTTTTTCGCAATGGCAATAGCGTCAGAGTATTAAATATGTAGGATCAACATTAAGTGTATTGTATACCTCTTGTCTCGATGTCCATAAAATAAAATAAAAAATTAAATGCTGTTGAGCGAGTTAAGTATTGTCATATGTGTTCAGAAGCGTTTGATGCAGTCAGTGCTTTTACATATATTAAAAACAATTGTAAATGCTGCAGTGCGCAGATGGACTAAACTATGCATTTTCAAATTTTCTCTTTCATCGACCGATTTTAATACAATATTTGCTTCTCAGACCCCCCGCAAGTTTTCTCTATAATATACAGCATTCTTAATCATGACACAATGAATTGCACAAATTTCTATAAAGATAAGGATTTCGTACCCCAACATTTTTGTAAATATTTCGATTTTTCCATAATCCAAGATGTTTCGCTTTTGAGTAGCTGAGTTCCTAATCGTCACTAAAAATGCAATGATTACCAAATGTTGTGTGTTTATGGAGAAGTGGCCTTAGTATTTCTTAAGAGATAGAGTAATTTGTCAATGTGTAGTTATAAGTCCTTGAGTTTTCTAAACATCGTAATTCCTAAATATGAAAGGATTCGAAAGAACAGGAGCGAATTGTATGTTATTACCCCTTTTGATTTATATCCGAAAAGTGTTAATTACGTGCATTAATTTTTTTAAAAATCAATACGGTGTTGATTTTGTTGGTAAGAAGCTGCTACACCGTCCCGGTGAGGACCCCACGGCGAGACTGCCGCGCCCTCGGCGGACCTCCGCGGAGGGCTCGTCGGGCGCCCGAGCGGAGCGGGGCGGGGCTGGGCTGGGCGGGACATCCGCCGCGCCCTTTCGCAGAAGATGGAGCCGCTTTATGTGCGCGCCGGGGACAGCGGCCGACGTGATGGGATTGATGTATAGCGCGTGTAATATCTGTGAAGGAGCGACAGGCTTCGGGAAACCGAAGTCGGCGGCGGTCGCTCGTCCTCATCCACTCGCCCGATCCGCAGGCGGAGCAGGTGCTGCAATCAGATTGCGCCTCGAATGCGTGAGGGCGATGCGTCCCTCGGAGCGTTATCTTTCCCTCTCGGCAGAGGAACTCGAGGCTTATCAGTTGAATCGACTGTCGGTTCGGTGTGGAAGTGGTATCAACGCCATTTAGCGTCAAATTGTCGGAAACCGGGAATGTCCTCTGAAGAGGCGACGCGCCTCTGATTGTTCAACGCGCGCCGCCTGACCGCTTCTCCGAAGGGACTCCCGTGGCCGCGCGCGGAGCACAGGACTTGAATTGCGACTCGGCTCACGTCCGCCGCCTCTGCGCCAAATATACAAACGCGAAGGCTCGGTTCTGCGAAGGAAAGGAGTCCCCGAGTCGCAGACCGAGGAACGCCCTTTATTTTCACAACTGGAAGAGCCATTCACGTTAGCGGGCTTTCGTGGGTCGTGTTTGATTTCCGTATCTCAGTTCTTTTTCGTAGATCTACCCAAATCCCCATTGCCAAATTTCGATAAGTTGATAAGTGATTTATTTGCTAAGTAATTATAACCGCCATAATCGACATGAAATTACAAACATTAAAGTACTGTTGATCTGTATCTAGTTAATATATAATTTTTACAATTTACCCCTTCGTAGACTAATGAAATACAATATTCTCACTTTGTGGTTTTGTTTTTGTATCGTGTATTCAAATTTTAAGTTTGGGCCGATATAATTCACGTGTGATTGAGATGAATATCTACAAAATGCCTATACAGACCAACGGTTGTTACAATATGTCATGTTGAATAATCTAGTCACATCCCAAAATTAATTCAACATAGCTATCTCGAAAATTTCTCTTTAGAATATCAATGTACATGAATTGATTGAGGACTTTATCTATAAACTGTAATTGCTCCACGCCACTGGCACTCGTATGTTCCCACGGTGCCCACGAGGGCACCGAACCAGCGCCATGTTTGACGGCGGCTGCAGCGTTGTAATTTCCTTCCATTTCCCCTCCACACGTCGTCCATCTGAAAAACGGAGAATACAATCTCGTCTGAAAGCATGACCTTGCTTCAAACGTCATACCCGAAATATACTTCATTTTTCCTTGCAAATGCTAGGCAGCTGCGCTGTTTACTTTCCTCCCCAAAACGTCTTTGGGGCAAAGCGGCATTGCGTCGAAACAAATTGCGCAGTGCCTGACGAAAATCTTTTCCCGGTGGGCACGCCCCCAAGACGAGATCTTCGGCATAGGAGGTCTGCCTCAAAGGCGGAGGCCCTTGTGCATGGATCAAAATCTTCACTTAACGAACAATGAACCGCTCATGTTGTGCACTTACAATTAGACGGGAGGGTGACCGTTTCGCTGTTTGTTATCTAAAGTTTTCCTCTCACCAAAAGGTTGAAATTTACAGGTCTCCTTTTCGTTGAAGTCTCTGAATTTTCGAAAATTACGCATTTATAGTGTAATGCGAGAAAGTATGTGGTGTTGTAGCAACACTAGTTGTTAAAAACAATTGTAGTCCACATTGTTTCTCAAAATAAGGGTCAGTAGTTTCTTGGTGCAATTTGTTCTTCAAAATTACATCGTTAAACAAATTTGTTTTCGCATAATTTTGAGGCATGTAGTTTAATTTTTGTAAGTGATTTAGGATGGAAGGTGCTATTTTAAATTATTACGACATCGTTACCAATATTGCTAAGAACTTCGGTTTTAGGACCCACTTTTAATTGAAGCTAGGATATCGCCGAATTTTTTCTATTTATTTTCTTGTTGATAAGTAAATAGCTAAGAAAAACCTTATACTCGTACTGTTCACATATTTCCTTGCTTAATTACTAACTTACAAACTAGGCTTAATCTATTACATGGGCAAGAAAGCCAAATTAGGCACCTCTGTTAATGTTTAATTTCTGTGAATTTTTTCAGGAATACGTGGAAATGAATTTTGTTTTGGATTCTGGTTCGCTGTGTAGGATTTCGGCCGAGGTTTGGTGCATTTAATGTGGGAATTTGTGATATGGAGTAATAGAAGTTGGGTGCAAGGTAATTGTTATGATTGGCTATAGGTTCGATGGATAGTTTTTGTGCAATTGGTCATTGGTGACAAACCAAGGGGTGTTGGTTATTATCCTTAGGAACTGGTTTTGGAATATTTGTAGATTTTTAATGTTAGTTTTTACGGTATTAATCCAGATGTGTCATGCGTATAAAAGGAGGGGTCTTAGTATGGTTTTCTATATTATTATGGCTGTGCTATATGGTAGTGAGGAATTTCTATTGACAATAGGTTTTAGTTCCACTAATTTTATTTTTGCTTGACTTTGGTTCCTATGTTTCTCCCAGTTAGCTTTCGGGTCTATGTTGAGTACAATGCGTTTAATTGTGTTGTTCTGGGGATGCCAGATTATTGATTCGTTGTTTAGTTTGAAGGGTGTGGGAGGAGGACATGATCTGAGGATAAATAGTTTGGCAGCGGTTTTCGATAGATTAAGTTGTATTTAGTTAAGCGGCCCACCTATCGATTAGATGAGCCTATAGTTGCATTGTATTACGTATTTTGTGTAGATCGGGTCCTGAGCAAAATAGTGCCGTGTCATCTGCAAATTGGGTGATATTTATTGAATGTACTATAGGTAAGTCTGCGACGTAGATATTGAAAAGAATGGGGGATAATTGTGATCCTTGGGGGAGTCCTGCATTTATCTGGGGTTAGAAGTTTTAATTTTTTTAAAAATTTTCCTAATGTGGGCAGTAAGTTTATAGGGCGATAACTATTTGAGGCTGTTACAATTTTGTTTGGTTTGGAAACTGGGATAATTGTTACGTGTAACCATCGTTGGGGGAAGTAGGCATTTCTGAAACGAGAATTGTATATATTGGTATTTTTTTAATACGTTATTATCATGCCCAGGTGCTTTTTTACGTGGTAATTTTTTTATAAATATATTTTTTCTGATGGGGAATGATTTCGTCTGTTGGTAACGAGCGTAAAATAATGTATTTAGTCACAGAATTTCATGCGGTAAGAATAATTTTTAAGAGTTGATAAGTAACATGTAACTACCTGACACATTCAAAAAATAAAAACGTATGCACTTTTGGCCTACGTCAAATCATGCATTATTGTACGAGTTGAAACACGATAGGTAGCCTATGCGAATGTGTGAACTTGGACGTTACGTTTGTGAAAGATCGGCTACGATATTCCGCCTGATTTATCGCGTCATGTTGTGTGTACGATAAACGTTGCGTTAATGGAAGTTCTTCAAATTTGTGACGACAATGTGTGCTGGTATCGCTAAACCTTGTCATCTGGGCCAACAAAAGGCCGAACGAAATGGAAGTACAAATGAACAGGGTGTTCCATCCTGGGGATTCAGCTATTGCGTTATATTCTGCCGTTATAATGTGGAACATTTTTATTAACGATACTCTTCAAAGGAAGTCTATGGTAGAAATGCCATTTTCATTTCAACTTTTGAATATTCATTTTTTTATTTTTATTTTATTATTATTTTTGTAACTCCCGATCTTCGCATTTTCGAAGAGTGTGTTTCAAGATTTGACAGAAGTGCTAGCATGATGAAATTTGCAATATAATAATAATAATAATAATAATAATAATAATAATAATAATAATAAAAATACCAATATGCTAGTGTTACAAATAATAAGGGAAAGTATGTCTTGTAGCACCACTAGTGAGTCAAGAATGGTTTTGGTTGAAAATCACTGCTAATTAAGAAGTTGCACAAGTTGTTCTCCTAATTTTACTGCACG